TCACTGCAAGCATCCATTTCCCAGAATCCATCCCGGAGTGATGCCATGACAGCAGAGGGACATTTCTCTTCCCAGTGGCAGAGGCCATCTCCCTAACCAGGCATCAGTGTGCACAGCAATCCTAGTCACCACCTAAACGCAGGGGCAGGGCACCCGCACCAAAAAGGTGAGGACAGTTTAGGCTCCCATTCTGTTGGCCTGAGCTCTAAGCCCTGGTCTACACTACAAAATTACTTTGGTATACGTCATTCTGGGGTGTGAATAATCCATCCCCCTGAGCAACGTAGTGATACTGGACTGAGCGTTGGTGTCGACAGGGCTGCGTTGGTGGGAGAGCTGCGGCCTCTTGCCGAGGTGGATGAGCTATGCCGATGGGAGAAGCTCTCTCCCGTTGGCTTAGAGTGTCTTCATTAAAGTGCGACAGCAACGCAGTGTGCCAATGCAGCACTTTTAAGTGTAGATCTGCCCTGAGTAACCCTCGTTAGACACACGCTTGCTTCTTTTAATGCCCTGCCCAGGTGTTAGTCCTGTTCATCAGTCTGAGAAGCTCCATCCCTCCAGCCTTGATGCTGTCCACTCAGATCTGCCCCTGTACTGGAACTCGAGCCCCTTGTCCCTCCAGGCTGCCAGTGGCCAGCCGAATGAAGTGGCTTTCCCTTCCCTTGACTTAAGCAAACATGTCCTTATGGTGGAAGCCAACAATGGAAAAGCTCCAGATGTGGGTGCAGGTGGAAACCAGATGGCTTTGTTGCTCTTTGCCTTCCCTTGGACAGCATTAGAAGCCTAGGGAGGCACGGTCAACTTGTAAACATCACTCGGGGAGCAGCTTCATGGAAAAAGTTGTAGACCAGTGGCTTTTGGAGAGTGTTCCAAGAGGGCAGACCGATGCCAAAAGCAGCAAATAATTTACATTGGTGAGCTGGGTGGTCTGGGTCCCCCCGCCCTCGTTTGAATCTGTTCATATTTAGAGGCCATTCTTGACCGTTTGTATTCAGCTAGACTTGACATTCCTCTCGCTTTGTCCTTGGCTGCAGTCTTTTCTGCATAACGAATGTATTTGAGGATCCAGCCAACGCTGCTGCTGAAATCTATCACCCGCAATGCTTTAGGCCTTACAGTAGCAGGCCACACCGTAGTCATGGGCAAAATTCACTTCACTCCCAATGGGCACTTGAGCTGCCGTGGAGATGGTCCACCGTGATCACCTCTACCTGTCATTGGCAGCTTCCAGGGAAGTCCCACAGCACTGTCAAAAAGTGTCAGGGACGTCTCCTCCAGTGCCCTGGCCGTCATTCCCCATCTTAGTATTATAGGGAGGGAGGGAGAGAAATAGACAGACAGCTAGATGTTGGAAACGGCAGCTATTGCTTCCACAGTCACTATGCTGCATGTATCCAACCAAAACTTTGGAGATACGGGTTTGTGAGTCTAATACTGTTTAGTGTAATGAATTCAAATTTCATTTCAATGGGCTGACATGGTAAAAACAATTCCCTTAAGCAAACCTATCAGTGTTGGTGCAGTGTTGTGTCTGGTTTTCACAGACAGACAAAGGGACTTAGGAGCACAAATCCTGCTGAAAAAAACAGAGCCATATGTTCCTAAACCCCTTAGACACTTTTGAAACACACACCCCCCCCCTTCATCTCTAACTGGCCCTTTGCAGAGCTTTTAAAGGCCATTACTTGACTCAGTATAGCCTCTGAGATAGGACACTGGGCAGGTACTCAGGACACCTGGGTTCAGGTGCTGGTTCTGCTGCTGGGTGACCATGGGCAAGTCACATCATCTCTCTGTGCCTCCGTCTGCCCATCTATAATATGGGGATAATGATACTGACCTCCGCTGCAAAGCACTTTCAGGTTGAAAGCTGCTAAGAGGGAGGTATTATTGTCTTGTGTATTATTATTTTTATGTAGGTAGCGTCACTCATCCCAAACAGTTTGCAGAGAGCTTCAGGGGATCTTTCAGGGTGACTCAAAGTGGATAGGTCCTGAGTTCTATCCATTTGCATAGGTATTTATCTGGGCACCTGTCATGGGCTCTCTGAAGGTCCCATCTATAAATCTCCCAAGCACTAAACTGTACTGAACTCAATTTATTTGCCAAAAAGGATGGAAGTGTGCCCCCTCAGCTCCCCGGCTAGGCTTTGAAGTGGCATTTCTGAGGGATGGAGGCATATCAGCGTGGGCGGTTAGATCCCTAAGGACCATGATCTTGTCCTCCAACCAAGCTGCCACCTTCTGCAGTGCCATCTGTGTTGGGTGTGAATGTGGCTATGTTAGGAGGACTGCTCCATCCTCTCAGAGCTGGGTCCCTGAGTGAGACCAACCCGTCGCATCTGCCCTACCAGTTCTTCTGGTGATTTGTACAGCAAGGTGTGAAAGGCCATCTGATAAGGAAGGGAGAAATGGCCAGGATATGATGCCTCGGAGCAATATGCTAGAAACCCAGGTGGGCAGGGTGGACGCAAGGGGCAGAAAACCAAACCAAACCGGGAAAAGGTGCTTTTACAAGCGGTGGGTTAAGAACATGATTAGCCCGAGCCAGCTGCCTTGCCAGAGCCTTGTGAGAGCTTCCCATAGGCAATGGCTGAGAACATTCCTCTGAACTTACTCTTGGGGCTGAATCAGCCCCCAGTGAAAACAGTCTGGATCTTTTGGAAATCACTTACACGGCCAAAGGAAAGTATTTAAAATGCAGCTTCTGGAGACTGCATCCTCAGAAGGAAATAAGCATGAACGGCCTGTATGCTTCCAGGAACAGGGGGTGAATCAGCAGCTTAGGGCAGAAAGTAAAGATAGGACCAGAGGGTTCCCAGTCCATTTATGGTTAGTATGGCAGTAGCATCTTGGCTCCCAGTCATGGACCAGGCCCCTATCGTGCTAGGCGCTGTACAAACACAGAACAGAAAGACAACTCCTGCCCCAAAGAGTTGACAATCTAAGGATAACGCAAAAGGCAGCACATGGATACAGACAGAGGCTGATCACAAGAAACAAAGAGACATTGATGTGCTCTGGGTCTGTTCACCAGGCAGGTTGAAGTAAGGAGGCTTGAAGTGGGGCCCTTGTCTCACTTCTCCTCAATAGCAGCTCTCTGCAAGATGTTTTACAGTTAGCTCCACATCATAGAGAAGGGCCATAGGTAACCACATCTGGAAAGACTCAGGCACAGGATCAGTGGGCTGATGGCAAATGGCATGGCACGAGTTTTGTGGGTCTCAGCCCAGTTCCCGGGGCACAGATGTCCCTGGCATAAAAACCACTTCCACAATTGGCAGGGTCAGCAGAAAGTCCAAGGGCTGAATGGGACATAGATACTGAATTCCCTCTTTGCCATAGAGTGGGTCTCTCCCAGGTCAGGATCCAGGCCTCTGGGTGGGAGTGCAGACAGTAAGTGAAACAAGCTTTTCTCTGTGTACAGATTCCCAGAGTGGGCATGGTTTAGAAGGAGGAGAGCCAGGGTCCTGGCAAGAACCAATGAACAATGCCATGTCAGGGGATCATTTGCTGTTGGGCACATCTCCACTCTGCAAGCCCTGCCCGTCTCCACATCTGCAGGGCCTCTGGGTATCACTAGGGAGCCTCTGTCCATCTGGCCTCAATTAGTCAAAGTGCTGCATCATCGAAAGGCATGTCTGAAATGCAAAGGCCTATTCATCATGACGGCAGTGTTTCCATGGGGCCAGGGGAGCAGACAGGCAGACCTCGCCCTGCTGGGACAGTATCGCTTGGAGTAAAGAGACCAGATGCCCTTCAGAACAAGGAGGGGAGATTTTGGATACACAAGAGATATGATGGGTGTGTAGCAGACACTGGTAAAGTGGATAGGGGCCTGGGACCAGTGTGGGGAAGTGAGGTTTAAATGATTGACAGGAGCAAGTTCTTCCTTTCTCCTTCTAGAATTGTGGCTATGCTGCTTCTAGGGGCTCTCTCCTGGCTAGCACAGTGGGTTTGTGCCTAAAGAAGAAGCGAGGGGTGCTATGTGGCTTACTGCATGTGCCTTACTTCACAGACCCATATCCCATTGCTGAAATCCAAACCACTGGGTGCAGTCTGAGGGGACAGTGCTCCCTGCTGACACAGCGAGGAACTCGACAAATGGGAGAGGCGCAGTCGGAAATACAAGCTAGTGAGGCATATGCTGTTACAAGTGCATCCTCTCTGCAAATGATGGGGAGCCATGGGTGTTTGCATGTTAAGGCACGCTCTTTTGGGAGCTTGTAATGACCCTCTGTGGATCACAGGAGCTCCCATCCAGGAGCCTTTTATGGTGACGGGAGCACTGAATGGGTGGCAAAAACGTATGATGTAAACCAGAACTGATTGTGGTAGTACCAAGTAATGGGCACTTGGCCAGTCCACGGGAGTAATGCCCCCTCCCCCCACCCCCTTCGGATCCCTGGAATGTGAATCAATTGTCTTAATCTAAAATCTATTTCCATGTTCATGGTCAGCCCTGTTGTCTTTTCTGGTGAGGATGCCACCCGACCCGTCTCCCTGTACCCAGGCACGGCAGCACAGGGTCTGATGGAGACATAGACGTGTGTCTGCAGAGTGCAACCCTGCTTCCCCAAAGGTTACATTGGATATCCAGAACCTGGGGATAAACAGGGAAGTCGGCCAGACAGCTTTGGGAAGGACGTGTTCTCGCATCCCACGTTAGCCTCAGTCGCTGTAGAGCACTCGCTCCTGTGCCGGCCACCTCTGCGTTGTTCTTAGGGTGGGGAGTGTGCACAGATCCCTTGCGTGGAGCACTGGGTCAGTGGAGCAGGGCTGGGAATCAAACCCCCTCCCCCATAGGATGGAGAAGACCCCTAAGCCTTTGGGCTCAGCCTGGATTCCAAGAGGAGTCAAGCTCAGATCTTCCCCATAGCTTTGTAAAGTATGACGTTGTCAGGCCAGGCCAGGTAACCCTCCCAGTGCTGCACTTCTGCCTCACCTTAGGGAAAGTTTCACGTTTTCATCTTTTCTTGTTATTTTTTCCTTTTATCTTAGATCCTTTTTGACCAAGCCCAGAGGTCGGTCCGGCAACAGCTGCACAACTTTGTGAAAGAGTGAGTACTGGGTCCCAGCTGGGGCTCCCTGATGAACTACAGACCCTCTTGTGTCTGTGGTGAAAACAGGATTGCAATGCACTGGCTATGTATATATTCAAGGCTCTGATTGGAGTGAAGGACACATCCAAGGGAAGGGAACCATGAATCCAATTTGTGCAGTGGGATGGGGTGACCCCTGCTGCTGTTGTGCTGTCACGGGGGAGGCTCCTAGTTCTGGGTGCAAGCCAGGCCCCGCTGAGTTTAAAATGTCAAGCTGGACATGAAACAAAACCCTAGATCTGAGCATCCCCAAACTGTGTGAAAGTTCAGTTCCGGATCCACACTTTACGAGCTGACTCCTATCATCATACTGGGGCACACTGACCCCCCCAGCTCAAACACCCCCAAAAGTCCAGATCTGTGCAGCACGGATCCAACACCACCCCTGGTAGGAAGCTCTTTGAGCCAAGCCTGGTTTGGTCACTGCTGCCACCCCAACTGGATGAGGTGGAGAATTTGCTTAGTCCGTCATCTACATTGATATGGCTTTTAAAGCACAGATCAGTGCCCAGCTGTCTGCCAAAATCCATGCAGGCACTTCCCCCAAGGACTTCACTTCAGAATCCTGCTGCCTCATTAAATTCTAAGTTTCTAACAGGGCACCCGTATCCTCCAAAATCAATCCCCACCTCCCAGGACACCTTTGGTGTGTCCGAGGCAGTACATGGAGCCTGTAGACATCTGTTGCACATAAACTTTGCAGGTAGGGGGGACGGGCGCTATCTGCCTGCGGAGGAAGCAGGCTTCTCATGGGAGAGATCAGCCAGTCATGCAATCATTGCATCACCACCATTTGAAATCTCGTGAGGACACGGGCACCGTCGAATCCACGCCTGTCTCCTAGCCCCCAGTTGGGTAAGATTTGGAGTCAGCCATCCCCCGGCCCTTATAAAATGGAACGTAACCCCTTCCCCTGCCCTGATGCCACATGGCCAGCTGTTCTGACTCGTCAGTCTGAGGCCCGGCTGCCTCGTTCCTTTACACCCGTGCAAAGCGGATGTAAAACACACACACCCGTGTGTGTGTGTGTGTGAGACAGAGGATACGTTGTAGTTCGGCCACACAGCAGGTGCGAAGTAGAGGAGAATCAGGGCCAGGAATCATCAGGATGTGGAGGGCCTGCAACTTAGCTCAAGTCTATTTCAACCTGCTCTTTCCCTTGGGTGGGGGAAACAGCATCTCTTCTGCCCGTGTAGGCTGTCCTCACCCCCTCCTCTGAGTGCCCGCGCAGCCAGTGGGCAGGTACCAAGTGCAGCGTGAGATCCCAAATCAGCTGAATATAGGTCAGCGAGGCAATGGCGGCCTTCAGCTAAGCGGGAGCTTGTTTCCATGGGAACGGGTAATTGAGTGCGAATCCATCAGCAGCTGTGGATGGTTGGGTGGTGGGGGGACCCACAGTTACCCTCCCTCCCGAAGCACTCCCCCCCATCTCTGTCCAATCATTTCTCTGATGAGCTCAGATTTAATCTGCTTAAATCCTGGCAGCCGGAAGGGGGAATTTCACCTTCATTTTGGGGCTGTCGCTCTGTCAGTGTATTTGCGTTTTATTCTCCCTTTGTCGCGCCCATCAGACCCTCACTGTCACAGGCTTCAGCGCTTTGATCTTCAAATTGCTATTGTTTATTTGAAATTGGTTCTGCAGTTGGGATCATTTTAAAGACCTCCCCCCAGGACCACGTCGGCAGTTTCCTGGCTGTGAAAAGGAAGCAACAGCAGCTATGCCATGTATAGTTTTAAACACAGCCTGCAGCTAGCCCTTCTCACCCCTTGACATTGCTGTGTGATTGCACTCGGTGCTGGCTTGACAGCCATGGAGCCTGAAGGCCTCTGTTTATCTCGGGGTCAGGCCCAATATGCACAATGCCAGGGCAAGTCCTGCCCCACTCATGTGCCTCCGTCTCCACGTGGAGGGGCCAAGCCCTTGGGACGAGAGGAGAGTTCAGTCCTGCCGGCCCGGCACTTGCAACCCCCCTAAACCTGTCCCGTGACGCCTGGGTTCAGAAACACTGAACTAGGCAAATATCTAGTTGAGTTGATGTACCCCCAGGAAGACCTCTGCGTACCCCCAGGGTTGCACATACCCCTGGCTGAGAACCACCGACCTAGGGCATGTTTACATTGCAGCAGGGAACCTGCCTCCTAACCCAGGTAGACAGACACAGGCCAGCTCAAGCAGAGCTAAAAATAGCCGTGTGGACATATCCCTCTGTGGGGGGGAGGGATCGCTCAGTGGTGTGAGCATTGGCCTGCTAAACCCAGGGTTGTGAGTTCAATCCTTGAGGGGGCCATTTAGGGATCTGGGGCAAAAATTGGGGATTGGTCCTGCTTTGAGCAGGGGGTTGGACTAGATAACCTCCTGAGGTCCCTTCCAACCCTGATATTCTATGCCATTGTGTCATGGGCTAGCCATCTGAATATGCTCCAGCCCCCTGCCCTGGATCCATACTTGGGTGGTGAGCCCAGGCTGCAATGTCCACACTGCCAATTTTAGCACGCTAGCCCAAGCGGAGCTAGAGCATGTCCATGGGCTGGAAGGCTCGCTCCAGCTGCGGTGCAGCCGTATACTGAGAGGCGAAATACTTTCAGTTCCGTCACCCAAATCTCAGCCTGGCTCAGCTCCCTGCACACCACCTCCCTCAGAGAGTCCTTGCTAAGTGGGAGCTTTGTTTGTCAGAAGCCTTGTGATGTGCTAGGAAAGGGAATGACCTTCTGTGGCCCTCCACCATCCCCAACCTAATATTTTGGCTCTGCGGGCCAGAGATTTCACCCTTCTCTCCTCATCACTAGCCTCCCAGCAGGAGCTGAGTGGATCCAGTCTCATGCGTAATCTGACTGATGCTGGGAAGGAAGCCGTGGGAGGGGCACACTGTTAAGTAGTCAGGGGTTGCAAGAAGCCTCAGCTGAACAGAAATATTGTCCCAAGACAGGGTTGGCAGGAGAATCAGGGGTTTCTTGTAGGTAAATGAGACGGAAAAACACTAGCCATCTGTGAGCTCTCCAGCTGAAAGACCATCTCCAGTTCCACTTCTCTGTAACAGCTTGGGCCATCCCCACCCACCCCCTTGCCTGCCTGGTGTGGTGCTGAGGGTGTGCCACATCTTAATTCCCCCCCAGTTGGGGCACCAATAAATTCGCTTTAACAGCCTGGGTCAAAGAGAAGCCAACACACACTCACCAAAGAGCATGTCCCCTTTTAATAAGGTTTCAGGACAGGAGCAATGACAATAGACAGTTCATCAGGACCCTGGTTCAGAGCTCCCCAACTTCAAGTCCATCAAAGCACGTCTCTGGCTGGTTTTCTGCAGCCTGAGCGAGACACCACTGCCCATTGCAGCCTGCAGAGCTTCTGCTGCTCTGCTTCCTGTTCCTCTTTAAATAGCCCAGTCCTGGGGTGGGGTGGGGCAAGGCAAGGCTTCCTTGTTTACCTATAGGCTGTAGGCTCCAGCCTGCCCCTCCTGCATGCCCTCCCATGGACTCCTACCCGTTTCTAATGTGCATAGACGCTGAAGGGCCAATAGCTCTTTGCAACGCCAGCTATGGGTTGCCTGGCAGGTGACACCCTTGCTGCAAATTAGGAAAAATCACCTGAATTCCCCATCCCCAACTCAGAAAGCCCCAAGAAATGCTTCCTCTCTTGCCATGCCCCGCTCCGTTTAATGCCAGCAGCCCTTCTCCGGCTTCCACACAGCTGGGCCTCTTGTGCTAAATGGGTCCAACTCCTCCACTCTCTGCCGGGTCCCTTGGAAGTCTGTGGCTGGAACCTCAGAGTCCATGTGGCTTATTACCTGCGCAGCTGGGCTGAGGGTGGGGTAAAGAGACATCAGCCATACTCCCCTCCCTCTCTCCTTTGCTAAGCATTCTGGCGGGAGGGGAAGCCACGCCATTCATTTTTAGCATTGGCTCAGGAGGGAGCTTGTTGGCAGCCATAATAATAGCCGGGTAGAAAGCCTGACGCCAGCTGTTGGGCTGGTGAGAGCCCGTGCCACTTGGCCACACCGAGCCGACTGGCCAGAGCCCAGCAGGGATAATAATAGAGGCCGAGGGGACATTTTTAAGCTCAGGAAGGGATTGTTTTCACGGTGAAGTTTGTGGCACTTGAAATTCAGCAGATGAGCGTGCGCGGGTGTGTTTCTGTGTCACAGAGCGAGAGAGAACGGGAGCAGGCCATGTTTGTGCGTGGGTGTCATAGTGAGCCCTTCCAGCGTGAGGGGCAGAGAGGAGTGAAGTTGAGGGCCTGTTGTTCGTCCTTCGGGTTTGAAGAGGACCATGACCTCACGGGTTGGTTTGGTTTCTGCGAATAAGTGAGTGGCTGCTCAGGCCACCTGAGCAGTCTGTGGTGCCCTGAACAAGAGATGCCGCTGTGGGTTACTTGATTAACAGCGGACATGCGGCTGCTGAGAGATTTATACTGCTGGCGCTTCTGCTCTGCCTCAGACGGTAGCTCCAATCTCGAGGAGACTCCCATGTTTCCCCTGTATATGCAGAGTCCGTTTCTCCTGGTTTCTATGTCTGTCTTTCTTAAAGCAACAGGGCGGTGAAAACTTTTCGAGAATTAGGAAAAGCTCATAAAGGTTGTCGGGGTGGGGGTGGGGCTGCAGGGGCAGGGGCAGGGGCAGGGGCAGGGGCAGGGGCAGGGGCGGTTATTATGCAGCTATTTGTATTTCATTGACTAGATTTCAAGTTGAAGGTGTTTTTAAGGCCCCTTGGTACTTTTGGCAGGAATCAAAATCCATATCAGGGTAGTTTCCGCTGGTTATAGTATTTTCCTTCACCTCCTGTCCTAAAGAGTTGTGTGGCTGAGCAGTGTGGAACAGGAGCTGTTTTCCAGCCCAGAAGTGTCTGCATTTCAGCGATGGGTAAAGTGATTCCTGTCTTTGCAGAGCATTGAAACACAAATGCATTTTGTGTAAGCATCTAACGTGGTGTAATTATTGTAAACAAGCCAGCATTTCAACGTGGACTATGCTGGGTAATGCCATACCTGAGATGTGTGAGGACACGGAAGTACTTGAACACAAGGTAGTGAGCTTGCCCTGTGCCCAACAGGAGGCAGGGTGGTCCAGGACAAAGGGTGTTGGACTGGAACTTAGAAAACCTGGGTTCTAGTTACTGGCTCTGCCACTGATTTGCTGTGTGACCTTGGGTGAGTCACTTTGTTTCCTCTCCACCCTTTATCTCTCTGGTACGCTTTTCAGGAAAGGGTCTGTCTCTTACTCTGTGTTTGTACAGCACCTGCCCCAGTGGGGCCCCAGAGTCGCTTGAGGTCTGTAGAGGCTACTAATGATTCATAAAGTTCACTTTATGGATCCAATATCTCTCATCTAGCACACTAAACAAATAAACGTGCCAGTTACAAGAGTTCAAAAAAGTCTGGGGGGAAAAATAAAACTTCTAATTTTAACACTTCAGATCACCAAACCCAACTGGCAGGCAGGTCAGAAGAGACATGCATATGGGCAAAGTGCACTTGGCTGGGCAGTGAATTTTAAACATGAGAACTGGCTGATCTGTGGTATTTTCATGGCTCCAGTACAGTATTTTTGGTGACATATAATTTGACTGTTTCTTATAGTGCCTGTTATGAAACATCCCAGTCTCATTGCAAGGCAGCTGGAGAGCATCATTAGGGTTGTGCGGGTTGCTGGGTATTGACCTTGGTGACGCCTCTAACTGCTTTGAAGGGACAGCACAGTGTTAGTCTCTGCATCCAGAGGGAGATGCTTTGGGTCAGATTCTGATTCTGATTCATTGTTTCATATAACTTTAAGGCCAGATGGGACCATGGGTAAAACCTCCTGTCTATCACGGGCCGTTACATTTCATCCAGATACTCCTACACGAAGCGCAAAGACTTTAGCTAGACCACGACATTTCAGTCCTCAGGAGACTAAACTGTGGTGTACAGGCACAGAACAGGGGAGACCGAGGTGCCACCAATACCCGAAACCCCCTGCAGTGCCAAGGAATTCATTAGAAGAGATATGCCCAGATAATCCTAGCAGACAAACCAGGCCCCATGCGAAAGAGGAAGGCAACCCTCCCCTCCCCTTGCCCCAAGATCCCTGCCAATCTGAGCTGGGGGAAAATTCCTTCCAGCCCCAGATTTGTCAGAGCTGAGTGGGGTCACTGAGTACGGTGTGAGGTCAGGGTTTGGCCATGAGAGAGATCATACACCACTGGGATCCCTGCTGCATTCCAATGCTGATTCCCTTGTGGTCCTGCCTGCCCTGTAATGGTGGTTTCCACCATTTCTTCCCCTTTGGGTTGCAGTGATGTCCGGAAGTTCAAGGAGACGAAGAAACAGTTTGACAAGGTGCGCGAGGACATGGAGATCTCTCTGGTGAAGAATGCGCAGGCCCCGCGGCACAAGCCCCACGAGGTGGAGGAAGCGACGGGCACTTTGACCATCACCAGGAAGTGCTTCCGACACCTGGCCCTGGACTACGTGTTACAGGTGAGGTTCTGGCCCACCAGCTCCATCCAGTCTTCCTGTCATAGAATCAGGCGAGCTCAGGATAAATGCTGATTATCCATCAGCCGAGAGTAGAGGAACCACTGGGTGGGTGGAGGTGAGAAAGGAGGATCTGACATTTGGGTTTTAAAGGGCATCTGATTGTGAAATTATCCAGCACTTAATCTGCTGCCTCAAAGAGAATCCCTGGGAAGTTTTTAAAAGCCAGTGCATGATCTGGCGAGACCTAGTCAAAGGTGTTTGGAGCAGACCTGGAATGAAAGGCCATATCTGTACTGAGGGTTTGCCCTAATTTCAGCCGTGAGGTAGCCGGGCTGCTGCAACCCCAAGGATAAACAGGAAAGCCACAGTTTGCCCTAAATCCCAAGTCTGCTCTGACCACCGTTTACTTGGCATACTCCAGCCTGTCCATATCAAATGCTTACTTTACCCCTGCTTGAAGGTGGGGTAAGGTCCATAGGTGTACACGTATTGGTGGGGCTGCTATCTCTATAACTGACATTGATTGCTTGGCAAATTCCCAGGATAGACAAGGCCTAAGGGAGAGCCGGTTTCTCTCAGAAGTCTCTGCCTCTCTGATCTGCAGATCTCTCCAGCAGGGCTTACAAGATGGCATTGTGCAATTAGCCAAAGTAAGAAAGAGAGATAATGCCTCTGAGTGCTTTTCTCCCCTATGTTCTGATTGTGAGTCACAGCCCATTCCTCCTACAGAGAGTTTCCTTAAAGAAAACCTCTGGGCACATGTGTGCGTGTTTGCATATATATTTGTGCATGCACACACATGTGTGTATACACATTGCTTGAAAAACTGCACCCTAGCGAAATGGGAAATGTCACAATCATTTTTCATAAAGAAAACTTAAACTAATTCCCTTGATTGAAGCTCCTTTTAGCATTACAGTCTCCTCAAGGAACATAGTTTTTGCCCCTATAATTACCCCTTGCCCACCGCCAAAGCTTCGTTTGTATCGTTTGCAGATTTGATCAGCTGACTTCAGGTTCCTCCTTCCAGGCAATGGGTTTAATAACTGAACAAATTCAGTGCAAATATTGATCCATGTATCACTCCACTAGCCCTCATTCCCTGCAGCACCAAATTGGGACCAGCTGCCAGCACCGTCTGTCTTATCATGAGATAGTCTATGGCGTCACATCCTACTGATTGCTGAGAATCAGCAGTGGGTGGAAAGGGGATGCTGTCCCTTTAATTTGTAAATTTGCTAACCTTGAGGGATTGTAGCTCTTCGGCTTCTGGGATTTAGAGAGAAATCCAGCTGTGGTTGCTGGCAAGGTCACTAGGGAAAGAAGTTCCTGTGTTCTAGGCCAATATCCAATGCTGACGAAGGTAGAAAGTGCCACTAATGCCATAGACTGATCCAGTGGGATTTCTCTGCTAGCCCTGCAGGGGGTGGGGAGGGACCGATCTAAAGCCATGTGCCCCAAAAGACACAGACAGAGGAACTGGGGCAGGATCCCTTTGCATCTCTTTAGGCTCAGCGACATTAGAGTTGGGACAGGGTTAGCATTTTATTTATTTATATGGACACGCTGGGGCCCTTGACATAACTTCAATCTGCACCCTAAGTGCGGCTGTTTTACCAATCTCTGTCCCCTTCTGACAATTCCCCTTCCCTATTTCAAAGGTCTTGGAAACAAGAGGAGTCCTGCTCAGAGGACGTAAAGGGGTTGGCCTGCAATGCAGAATCTGGCTCAGCATTTTTTGGCTAATGTGCCTCTCACCTTGCCCAAGGATGCTAGGATGCAATGTGCCTTGGGGAAAAGCAGATTCCAGCCTCTCAGCTCTCTGATTTATCACAGCAGCCAAATATCTGTCAGTGAGATGATCAAGGAAAGTTGGAGTTAAATTAGTTAACTACTGTGCAAATCTGCCAAAGTCCCTCCCCCTCAACCCCCCCACCCCGCCCCCAAAATTGGATTGCATGAATCAGTTACTTGAAGTAACTGGGTATTTTTAACTGCCAGATTAATTTGTTTTTACCAGTATGCATTTGTGTGGCCTAGGCGTGCCATCTAGTGGCTGGTTTGGTTTATTTACTGGAATGTCTAGATGAGACCAAACAATTAACAGAAGCCTCTATGGTGGGAGAAAGAGATCTGGAAAAAAGATACCTTTTGGCCTCATGCAAGATGCCAGGAAACAGTCCTAGCAAGGCCACGACTGACATGTCTTAATCCTTACGGCTTGGCACTTCCGCTAGTACCAGACCATAGCTGCAAAGACACAGCGCTCATTTCCTGGACCAACAGCCTGGGAAAAGCAGGAAGCCTGCCCCTCCCGCTTTTACCCGAAACTATTTCCGTTTATCACGAAACAGACTTTGGCCACAGGCCCAAAATTTGCATGAAGGAACTTTGCTTTTATGAATATTTGCACACACAAAAACGAGTCCAAAAGGGGCTCAGACCCAGAGAATTGCAATTCAGGGCCAGGTTCTCCAGGGTGATCTGGCACCTTTGCATTCCTCAGGTGGTGCATAGAGGCCAGATTCTGATTGTAAATGGCCATGGAGTTCCCCTGTGGAGTGGAACTCCCCCGCCCCCGATTTGGCTCCCATCCATCCCCTATCCCCATCCTGGCTGTGGAAGGGAGGAGGGGGAAGGTTGTGGGGCAGGCTTGGGATGTGTCTGAGTCGAGTTCCTCTACATGATACTCGCTGGTATAAAGCCCTCTGGATAGCTGTAGCAGAAGATGGGACATGGCTGAGGAGGAATTGGGGGAGGTTCTGCCAAACGCAGGCACACTCCATCCCCCGCGCCCAGCAGAGCTCAGACATGGGGGAGAATCGAGCCCTCGGTCCCTGATCCAGGAACACGTTTGCCTGTAACTTTCGCTCCACTCTCGTCTCAGCTACTCCAAGTGCAGCATGGTTGGAGCTAATTGGTGCCACATTTATAAATGAGATACTAACACACCGGGACCTGTTTTGCAGCTGTCATGGTAACATATTGTTCGTGACACCGACAGCTGAAGCCCCATAGAAATCTTCTGCTACATTTGACAGTCTCTCTAGTGCTAATTACAGCACTTGTAAGGCTTCCCAGATGGGATCCATGGGAAAGGTATTATGTAACTGCACACTATTCATTTTTTATTTTTAAGGCATCACCATCTCTTCTGCAGCCTCTTATTTTTCATTTCCCTTTAATGTTTTATAAATCTCAGAAGCATTTTTCATCTCCTGACCTGTGGTCCATGACCAGAGCTGACAAGAATGTACTGGTCCTGAGAGCGTTTGCACTAGTTCACCAACCAAACAGTTTTGCAGCAATCTCGCCCACCTGATTTTGGCATCTGTTATCTCATGAACCACTAGTGCTCACTAATGGACCTAGACACAGATGCTAGGCTGGATTTATGGCTCTTACAGTGTACCTGGCAGCCAATTCACCAAGCGTCCTCTACTATTCTGGTCCTTGTGCCTTTCTTGGGCAAAAGCTGCTGGTTGCTTCAAAAGGTGCTGTGATTTTGCGATTCAATTAATTAGGGGTTAAGATGAGAGCCCACCAAACTCTCTGTATTGGTGACATATGGCAGGTCTCCAGAAATAAAAGGACAGCACAGGAATCTGCTGCATCATGCCCTGTCTTTTATAATGGGGATTGAAGCTGGGATTTGCCTGGTCAAAGTTGCACGGAGCAGGCTGAGAGATGTTGGAACGTGCTTTTGAACCGCACTGCTCAGCACCTGCTGAAGGAGCCGCTTTAGCACCAACCCCGACTGTGTTTTGCAGAGAGGTGTTACGACAGCCGCAGAGTACGTTTCAGCCTCACTAGATGGTGCTGTCGTGCTTCTCTGACCACGGAAATATGGCGCTAGACTAAGGACTGAGTGTGTGACTGAAGGCCCCTTCTTTCATCCTTAGAAGTGACCACAGACCACAGGAGATCAGAGGCAGGCTGGGGGCCACGCAGTGGAAGTTTGCACAGCAGCTGCCGGTGCTCTGAGGATAACTTCGGTTTCCAGGGCTGTCAGGCGACTGATGCCTTTCCTGAGCGCTAAAGTCACGGAACTGGTTTCCTTTGTCAATGACAATGGGTTATTTTAGGAAGAAGGTCCCCGTGCTCAGGTACCGTGGGTGCGGATTACGTGGCCAGCTGAGCTATGGCGAATGCGTAGCCCTGAGCCAGCACAGATTGTACTGACGCCATTCGACCTAGCAGCTAGGAGGAAGCAAAGCAGTCGCCCACCAGATGTTAAATGTGCATCGACATCACAGGCACCAAGTATTGATTAGTCTCCTGGGGCCAGCCTAGCTATTCCGGTGATCTGCAGTAACACAAAGGGGGCAGCATCTTCAAATGCACCTATGTCCCTTAGGAGCCTAAGTCTGAAAATTTGACCCAGGGACTTTAATTTTTACCCAGAAATCTCTACATCTCCGAGTGGGCCAGTCAGGCGCCAAGTACCGCTGCCTGCTTAGGGTTGTTGCAGTGGGTGCGGCTTGTTATGTCTAGCCCATGGGCTGCTGCAGCTGAGTGTCTTGTCTTGATTCCCTCACAGATCAATGTCCTCCAGGCCAAGAAGAAGTTTGAAATACTGGATGCGGTAAGGGTGCCGTTCAGTTTTCCCTGCTGTCCCCTGGTGACTCAGTAGACTGTTTCAGACGAGCAGCCGTGTTAGTCTGTATTCACAAAAAGAACGGGAGGACTTGTGGCACCTGAGAGACGAACACATTTATTTGAGCATAAGCTTTCGTGGGCTACAGCTCACTTCATCGGAATGCATCACGGAAGCTTATGCTCAAATAAATGTGTTCGTCTCTCAGGTGCCACAAGTCCTCCTTTTCTTACAGTAGCGTTGCACGCTCCGTTTCGCCCAGGCACAGACACGTCCGCACGCGCCCCCCGGCACTGAGATCATGTGTGACACAAGCAGGAAGGCCGATGTGGGCTGCAGGTTTCTGGCACAATAACGCACCACAAAGAAACAAAAAAAAAAATCCCTCGGCGCTCTGGAAGGGCGAGGGCTGTCAGAGAGGAGTGACAGTGACACTGTGGAAAAGGCGCCATTGTCACTATGTGGGGCGGGATGGGGGGGGATACCTGCAAGCTTAGTAAGATTAGAGGGAGGAGGAATGGTGAGAGAGAGAGGGCACAGAGGAAGAGCGAGAAGGTGGAAAAAGAGGATGTGTTGATGTCTGCAGAGAGAGGTGATGTAGCTGAGCCTGAGAAGGAGATATGCATGGTCTAGAAATGATATGCTCTACCTTGGTACATATATGGCCACCATCCCCATAACGTCTGAGCACCTCGCAGATGATGCGTGTGGCCTCAGAGCACCCCGTAGACGCAGTGCCGTATTCTTATTCCCATTTTACAGAGGCGGAGAGAGATCAAGTGACTTGTCCAGGGTCACGCAGGGAGCCGGTGACAGAGCCAGGAATAGAACCTAGATCTCCTGAGTCCCAACCCAGGGCCTGGTCAGTCACAAGAGATGTAGTTCCATGTAGTTCTATGAGGTGGGTCGCTCCTTCGCCATCATCAGCATGGAGGAGAGCTCCCACAGGCTAGCGTTATCCCGGGTGTCACCCAACAGAAGGCATCGGAGTGACACGGGGGATTCGTTTGGCCCTGGCAGAGGGAGGGGCTCCGAGAGAGCTCTTTTAGAGAGGATTGTGTCTGCTCAGGCTATTTTCCTAGGCCAGCACTGAGGCTGATATTCTACTGGGGCGAGAGGGTGCCCTGCATAATCTCCCCTCTCCTCCCATCCCCATGGCTCCGCTCCTGTTCTGACCGTGTGCCTTGTTTCCCATCCCCAGATGCTGTCCTTCATGCATGCCCAGTACACCTTTTTCCAGCAGGGCTACAGCCTCCTTCATGAACTTGATCCATACATGAAGAAGCTAGCCACCGAGGTGAGGGATTGGGGCGAGGGGGTGCTTGGTTCAGTTTGCCATTTCCCTGTGGTGATCCCTTCACCATGAAAGCCTTGAGCATCGAGACGGAAATGCTCCGGAACCTGTCTTTGCCAGGAACATGGCCGGCATGGGGATTCAGGAGCTCAGCCGTAATTAGACAAGTTGGCTCTTTCTGGGCATCTCCTGCTCACTGGGCCAAGCAAAATCCCCTATGGTCCATCTGGGACTGGGCAGCCTTCCCAGGCACAAGGCATCCTGTTTTTTTTGTTTTTTGTTTTTGTTGTTTTGTTTTTTTTTGTATTGCATCTTTCTTGCCAAAGTTTAGGGCCTGGACTGGAGACATACCCTCCAGATTCCTGATCAGATTCTAGCCCTGGTCTTATACTGAGCCCAGTGCATGCTGGGGAAGGATTTGGGATTTCACAGGGTGGTGGGCATGCCCAGGTGGTGCAGACAGGAGCGCGAAAGCTCATCGTGATGTGCTTCAGGATAATCTTTGTGCTTTGGTCTAAGGAGCTCCCTGTAACCAGGGCGGTGACAGAGCATCACCCCAAATCCCATGTTCTGGGAGGAGGTCCCAGGGGTGGAAAGTTAACTGCTGCACCAGCCCACAGCGCCCACCCCAACGCAGCCTCACTGGACCCGGGGAAACTTGCATCCCTCCCCAGGACGTAGGCCATTTGCAAGACTGGCGTGAGCCCAGAGGAGGGGAAGTGGGAGAGATGGCTGGGGGCTCGGTAATGGGAACCATCTCACTGAATTTTCCTTCTGGTTTTCTCCTCCCTGTCTTCAGCTCGACCAGCTGGTGATCGACTCGGCCGTGGAGAAGAGGGAGATGGAGCACAAGCATGCACTGATACAACAGAGGGTGAGTCCCAGGGGGCTGCAGGCTGGCATGAGAGGACATCACTCTCCGTCAGCACGGAGAGCTGAGTGGTTAGCGGCACCTCAGCCTCCCAGCAAGGGGACTGCTGCGGGAGAAGCTAGCGATGGGAGTGTAATGGCCCTGCAGCTGGGTTACACACCATGCGGCAGATGAACCTTTCCGCCGTCCTGTGCCAGAGCTGGGTTTGGATGCAGCTGCTGGGGGGGTCCCTTCCCAACTAGCTCTATTCTGGTTTACAGAATGGGAGTGCCATCTAGTGTTTGGAGCTGAAGTGATCAGGAGTCAGGACTCCTGGGTTCTGGGCCCTCTCTACCCTAGGGCAAATATTTCATCTCCTCGTACCTCAGTTTCCCCCTGCGTGTGATGCTTCTCTACCTCCCTAGGTGGTTGTGAGGCTTAATTGGTTCATGTCTGTGAAGCACTTTGAGGTTCTTGCGCACAGGGAACCATTCCTGGAGCCTGTTATTGTCATGAGTCCACACATAAAAACAGTGTCATGTAAGGCTGGGATATCGCTCTGGGAAGCCAGGTTTGGCTTGGCGAGCAGTTAGAGCAGCCCAGCAGCTCTCCCACTCTCCCTCCCTCGTCTCATCCATTCCCTCTCTTTTCCCTTCTCCCCATCCTGCCCTCACAAGCCGGACAAAGCGTCTGGCGAGCCCCAGCGTCTGCAGCTGCCATGGTGGCAGCACATCCCTCCCGAAATTTGTCTCTCTGCTCTCACATCTGTCCGGCCGGCTTCCCCTCCACCTTTCTCCAGCACGCCTGACTGCCCCAGCTCCACCAGATGGTCAGCGCCCCCTTTTAACTCCGCCAGCAGACGGAGGGATGGAGGGAGCCATTTGCTCCCTGGGGGCTGGGCTGGCTAAAGGGCCATTTCTTCATTCACATGGAGATCCCCCTTCCCCCCCGCCCCAGTTAGGTTAATGGGTTGTGAGGGAGAAGAGGAGGGAAATGCACCTCTCTTCCCCATATCTCACTTCCCTCCCACAGAACGAATTCCCAGCTACCAGGGTACAAGAGGCTCTGCCTGCTTTCTGAGTAGAGATCTCCGCATCCCTCCCCAAAGGGGCAGAGCAAAGCTATTTAAACTGAGGTCCAATAGACAGGTACAGGTGGTGAAGAGACCAAACTGCCTTTCACTACATGATTAGATAGATAGTTAGATAGATAGATAATGTCTGGGTATGGTTGGATGAGCAGACCGAGGGGTACATATGGGGATGGATGGATGTCCCTTCAGCATGGACATTATTAGATATAAGGAAGGATCCTCTTTCTTCTTTGAAGAGTCACTTTCTGCCCTTTCCTAGCACCCTCCGTCTGAGGCTCTCCAACGGCTTCACAAACATAAATCAGTTATGCCTGACAAAGCCCCTCTGATACATCAGTACTAGTCAGCCAATGCTGAAGCTAGGTAAACTGAAATACAGAGAGGTGAAGTGACTTCCCCAAGGTCAAGCATTGAGGGTGCATCTTCATGGCAAGCAGAAACCCATAGCTCCTGAGTGAAAAATGCAGAGATGTCTACTTCCCAGGCTATCAAGTCTCCTGATCCCTCTGGCTCTAAACACTCCCATTCTGTAAACCAGCCAGTTACTAACCCCTGGAATATGCCCTGTGCCTTGACCGTTATTACTTAAAGGAAACCTCCTCTCTAATGAGCCCAAAACCAGATTTTTTTCCTCCTCCATCAAGAAGGCAGCTGCGGGGTGGGTAACTTCACCAGTAAGAGGAGAATATTTTGGGGAAAATTTTGGTGCTCCAGTAGAAACTTGATTTTACGGCCACCAGTCTTTTGCACAACCAGTTATACGAACCATTTTTCCCAATGGAAAAGAAAAAAAATTCACATAACAAAAGCGATATCGATGATGAGTAAGTTGACATCCCTTCATCTACTAACAAGCCAAAGGAAAGAATGCCTATGGCTGAGTCAACAGCCCGTGTCACGCAGTGTGGATCCCCTTAGATCTCCGTGGAAGCAGTGGTTCAGTACTGATGAAAAGGGAAGAGTGAATTACCAACACCACTTCCTGTGTTTTCCTTGGACATCCACCTCGGATGATCCTTCTTTAGCTTCTAAGATATGCTAAGACCACAGTCCTACGGGGCATGGCTTCAGAAACAATTATGCCACCTGTGTCAAAAGTATCTCAGTGCCGGGAGCATGAGAAACAGGGCAGATATGGAGTTTGGGCCCATCCCCAGCTAGCAGGGCTACAGGATCCTTGAAGAAACATCCTAGGATCTTTTCATACAACAAAGCTGCAGTTTCCCATGCAATATTAACACTAAGACTCTTGCTGAGTTGCGGGGGGAGGTCAGTGGAGTCTGCTTAAATCTCCTCCCTGGGGCCTAAGTAGGTTGCTTAGCTTGCATGTCCTGTGGATGTCTGAAAGAAAATGCCCAGCTGAGACCCAGGCAAAGCCCAATATTGATTTCGTCCTCATGAGCGAGGAAGTGGATTGACAGGCTGGGAGAGGAGAGGGCAGTTCGGTCGTCTGCACAGCGGCCGCTGGGGAGGAGGAGATGGATTCCAGTGTTTTGCTGCCAAAGCAAAGTCCAGACTCTGCACAGAGAGGGATGTTGTGTTTCTCATGCCCGTCCCAGAGCAGGACTGACGGGAAAGGATTCACATGCACCATGCATTTAAAAAGATGCAGAGCCCAACTCTGCTCCACTGGATCAGTGCATTCGGCTAGTGAAGCCAGCATGTCACTACCCTGCCTTGGCATGACACTCGTGACAAAGGTGTCACAGTCCACTTCTGCTGACACCATGCAAATCCAGAGTAACTCAATTGGAGTCATGGGCGTGGGGGCAAACCCTCAGCCGGTTACATTGGCATACCTCTATTTGCTACAGGGGAGCTGTCCAGTAGCTGAGAGTGGGGCACTGGGTGTTGCAGCTGGATGAGTTCTTGACTCTGGACCCACAAACTGTGGATTCAAATCTAACCCCCAGAGTTGGATAACAAACTCCCAGTGCAGTAGCAGGGGAAGGGTGTCGGTCTGCATGATCAGGGATGAGATGCTAAACTGAGGTCTTCTTTGGCAGAAATTAAAGATCCCCTTGCAATTGCTTGTGAATCGTAAGGGAAAACCGAGGAGTCTGGCCCCTACATCCCCTCCTTTGCTAACACGGATTCTAACATGGCCTGTTGCCGAGTATATACCGGTTGCTGCACTGACAGCATCTAACTCGTTATTCTGTACAGCTATGGAAGACCAAATCAAATGCTGTTCCCTTGTGCTATTGCTGGACATTCATAGAAAGCAGCTGCAGTGCTGTCTTCTCAGTTTGCAAACCCAGAACTACACACACACATTCCCATGGGCCCACAGTGTCAGATCTGCCATGCACATCAGGCACTGAGATGTTTGGCTCCCTGACCCTGGTATGTAGCTACTGCTTGTGTGCAGAAATACAAGATTTGGAGGGGCACAGAAATTGCATGGATAATTCTGAGCCTGCCGGTGCATCTGGAAAACATGGTCGCTACGCCTTGAGAAGCTTCGCTGGGGGTTGATTTTGCACTTGATCACTAGGGAAATGTTAAGTAATGTGCCTTTTTTTCTTCTTTTTTCTCTCATCACCCATCGTTGACGTGCCCCCTCCAGACCCTCCTGCAGGTGAGTACAGCCACTTTGCTGTGTAGTGTCTTTTGAGAGATTGGTTCTTCCCTTTTATGAGCTAAATTTATTGGACGGAGTTGCACTTAACTACACGTGAACTCCAGTGAGCCCTGCTTTTAGATCTACACTGGCAATGGGATGGATCCTGGCTGGATCCTTTAGTGCACTAGCCTGTTGTCTCTGGAGAACTAATTCCCAAACGCAGTTGTAAGGGAGTTTGGTGGTTTCATCCTAATCCCTATTAGATTTTCCTTCACATAACAAAACTATCATGCTATATCCCAGATGCCTGGCAGTCTTGACTCAAGAGAGGCCCAGTTCTGGAACTGCAGGGGTTCCGTGGATTGGGACTGAAGTGTGTTGACCAAGCAGTGGAAGTAGAATAGCAAGAAATTCTGCAATTGAAGATGGATGGGCCAGATTTTGGAAAGCATTCATGTGCCTGAAGATGCAAGTAGGCAGTCCTAGTGGGGTTTTCAATAGGTCCTAGGTGCCTAACTGCCATTGAAATCCTACATGCTTTTGAAAACCCCTCTGTGTGCCTATCCCCATCTGCATCTGTAGGCACCTAAGTACTTTACAAAATTCTGGCCAAAAGTGCATTGGCAGAGCCCTGAAAGGGCCCAGGACCCGCAGAAAAGGGAGCGCTGCGGGTCAGGAATGAGATGCATTGACAGAGCCCTGAAAGGGCCCAGGACCCGCAGAAGAGGGAGCGCTGCGGGTCAGGAATAAGATGCATTGGCAGAGCTGTGGGCCTGGAATAGCAGGGGCTTTTATAACTGAGCAATGAGGTGCAAGGGGCCTTGGGACTGGAATGGTGGGTGGTGGTGCTCGTCGGGTCTGAGGTACGGGGTGGAGCTGTGTGGGCAAAGCTTGCCCGGTGCTACCCACACTCTCCTTGGGTCCAACCAATGCGCCTCTGTCCCTGGCTTCGGTGAGCATGGAATGTTAGGAGCATGGGATAAAGGAGCAAGTCGACTGGGCCATGCTCTGGTCACCAGGGCTTGGGTTGCTGTTTCTCAGCACCATGGACACTTCCTCCTGTTCATTTCACCTTGCCCTATGTTTCTGAGTGGAAAACCAGAGGCTAAGCAGGCGATGGATTTGTTAGCTGAAGTGGGGCCATGGCTATATATCTTATTCCCACCGAGTAGAAGAACACTCTCAGGCGTGGAATTCAACAGATAGGAAGCCAGTGCTGAATCGACTGTGAATTGACAGAATGATAAACGGAGTCTTTCCCCCTTCTCCCTGCTCCACGGATCACTTAGCCACAGCTGCTGCACTGTAGCTCCATTGCATAACCCTGTTTACTTTAGCTTTATTGACACGGGTCAGGAACTGTTCTGCAAACCGCCAGATGGGACAGCATGGGAGACAGGAGCTAGTTAATCTGCTGTCTGTTTTCTTGGAGCTCAGCAGTTCTTCAGTACCTGCTCCCTTTCCCTTCAACCAAGCATTAAGGTACTTGGGGAGGATGTCTGATGGGGCCCTCTTTGGTTTGGTACCAATGTGCGGCCATATGTAATAGGGGTTATGATTATGCACTGCCGGGGCGCACCTCAGCTTGTTAGCCAGGAAGGACATGAAGGTACAAGCCCTACATCTCAGTCAGGTCCGCGTCAGCTCAGGCGTGGGATCCCTACCTCCGCTGTACGTAGCTGAGAGTGAAAATCCACTGCTGAGCGGAGGCTGCCAGTCAGCTCAGTCCCGGACGCTGCCTCTCCTGTTGCTCAGGCTTCACTCATGGCAGAGAGTGTGTCCTGCTGTCTGCAGTCTGAGGTGTCCAGTCCATTGGACAGCAGCTCATTCTACCTCCTGGGTGTAGACAGATGAGCTATTGAGGCTTTTCTATTCTGATCCATTTAGGTCCTTTCCCACAGGAGATGACAACAGTGAGGCCACGGAATTAGGACCCTTTTCTGATGAGATTAGGTAACTGGCTTCAAAGCGAGATAATCTGCAATTGAACGGCTGAATAGCAAAGCAAAGGCAAAATCCCGAGAGAGGGCGAGTCTGAGAACTCGATTTAATCCACTGCATGGTTTCCAAATTGTGTAGGCTTTCACTAGGAAGCTTGTTGGCTGATGGCCTATGAGAGCTAGTCATTCTCTCCAGACCAATAGCTAAGAACCCCACAAGCTACACCCCACCAGGAGTCCTTCAGCACCAGCAGAAGATGGGACAACTGGTAACACAAACCACTAGGAGAAATATCAGGTCATGCACAGATACAATTTAGAAGCATCCAAATTAGAACCCTCAGATCCAGGTATTCAGCTGAGTCCCTTCACTATAATGGGCTGAACCAAAACCCCAGATCCAAACATGCCCCAACTCCCAGGAAAGTTGGGAACTGGATTTAAGATGTGCAGCTCCGGCTTCTGTCTCATTTCAACCTGAAACCAGGCAAAGCCCAGGTTTGGGGGGCTGCTGAAACCTGACTCTGAAATAAAGAGCCAGACTGATTCTCAGCAGCACTCCTGAATGCTGGGGTGTTGGAATGCCAGGCCTTAGGTGTATAACATTAGTCCATCCCTGCTTTGTTTTTCTTTTTAAAGAACACTACATGAGAAAAACAAGCCAGAGATATTTGTCCCATCTGGGCCACTCCTCAGAATCACTGACAAGCTGCATTGTACAGTTTAGAGTCGGACCCGGAATCCACTTAGCATCTGTCAGAGCATCCCATGTGCTGTGGTGAAAATAAGAGGCGATGTGCAAGAGCCACTGACAAAACAGACATAGAATCATAGAATATCAGGGTTGGAAGGGACCTCAGGAAGTCATCTAGTCCAACCCCCTGCTTAAAGCAGGAGCAATCCCCAATTTCTTCCCCAGATCCCTAAATGGCCGCCGCAAGGATTGAGCTCACAACCCTGGGTTTAGCAGGCCAATGCTCAAACCACTGAGCTCTCCCTCCCGCCCCCCCGTTCAGGAGCTAAGTGAAGAAACACAGGAGGCAGAGAGAAAGCAGCCGTGCAGGGTGCAGAATTCATTGATAAGTTCACGTGTATCTAGGCTCTCATGCAGATCAACGTTCCTCTGCAGGGAAAAATTGAGCAGGGCTTTCATGGCGCTCTTATTTTGTTAATGCTCTCTCAGGGGAACGTCATGCCTCATGAAATGAAAGCGTAACAGAATTGGAAGGCTACTGACAAGCGTTTCCTGTGTGTGCATACGCTCCCTGAGCCTGATTGCCCTGCGGGGAGGGAAAGAAATCCATTTGAGCCTCCTGGCCCCAGGGCGGGGGGAACGGGGGGGAATTAAACGGGCGTGATGACTTCATCGTTGAGAGCAGGGAAGGGTCTCTCTAATGCAGTGCATTTAAAACCAGCCATTTCACACAAAGCTGCTCTACTAACCAGACTGGCCGGGAAGAGCTGAGGAATGACTCGGGATCAGACGCAGAGAAAGCAAAGGAGCAATTATACCAGATTGGGATCCTTATGAGCAGAGCTACCCATGGCCTTGGCTCCCTGTGTACATGACCAGTGGCCCTGGGAAAGTTAGGCAGCCATAGTCGAGTGCAGGGTTGGAAGCGTTTCACTTCCAGCTGCAGTCGGGTATTAGAGGCGAGATCCTCAACGGGTGTAAATCAGCCTCGTGCCCATGAAGCCAACAGAGCTACGCGGCTTTACAGCAGCTGAGGATGTGGCCCTACGTTGAGATGGACACAAAGCAAAATACAGGGTCTGAACAGCCCTGAATTCTGGAGCTGCCCTGCAGCTCTATACTGGGCCAAACCAAAGCCCTGGATCCAATGACCCCCAGACCATTGCTTTTTATAGCCGGACAGGAATTTTGTTTTTAAAGTCAGCAGTGCCATGAGAGCGTGTGCCCTGGCTGAAGGAGCCAGCGTCTCTCTGGAGACAGCAGGGAGGCTGCAGATAAGCAGGCTGAATTGGCTTTGTGAGAGGGTGGGGAATAGAGGGTGTCCGGATGACAGAGTCAGGTGAGATTAACCCTTCTCTGTATTATGTGCTCTGTGATCTCTGTGGAGTAGAATAGGAAACAGCATGGCCCAGCAAAGAGAGCGTGGGACCAGGACTTCAAGAGAAAGGGGTTTTACTCCCACTTTGCTATATCCCGGGCAAATCACTTGGCCATCTCCGTACCTCAGTTTCTCTGTCTGTGAAATGGAGACGATGATACCCACGTTTGTAAAGAGCTCTGATATCGCTGGATGCAATCTAGTACCATTAGAGGAGGTTGTTACTTCTTTGTGTCTTAACATATACTACTGGGCACTACATTCGGGGGTTAGGCATGGAATCAAGGGGAAATACGATCTCATACATAACAGCCTCTGAAAACTGCAGCAATGCCATTGGACCATAGTCATTGTAGGATAAAGATTTCACCCCACTTAATCCCCACTCTCCTGCTGAGTTACAGGGACCCACAACTGCCTTTTCCCTTGGAGAAGATAGGCAGTAATATATTTTGCCCCATCACAGTGTCTCCCCAAACAACATGGCACTGGCATTGGCGACAGCAGGGAGAGAGTGACTCCAATTTGAAATAATGCTTTGTGGGTCCTGCCCTGAGGGTGACTCATGATGATGCCTTGCTAATTGAATTACCCCTTGTCAGGTTTGCGAGGGGTGGGACGCAGGCAGGCCGGAACCCGTTAACTAGGAGGAGCTGTGATTTGGATTGAGGGTTGGTTGGTTGCTTGTTTGTTTTTTAAATAAAGCAGAAGAAATTCTGCAGGGTAGAAAATCTTGAAGTGTCGCTGGATTATTTTCCTTCATACTGTTATTCAAGTGTCCTTTGCTCATCCCTCCCTCAGCCCCTGCTGCATCTGTCACCTTTTGTGCATATTCCCAGTGCAGGGATCATTTCAAGCTGCCTTTGTTATCTTAACCACTGCCCCCTTTGTCCTCCTGGCCCGCTAGCCCCACAACGCCGGGCAAGTTCCATTTGCTGTCTCACACTCTACATGAAAACAAATAGTGCTTAAACAGAGGGGACGCTAATAAAATTGGCGCAGG